CGATCGAGGCAAACAGTCAATTATGTGTCAACAAAGTATGGAAACATTAAACGATAAACTCAGTTTGATAACGTTTGCTCCCTTGGATCGGAATCCTGGGTTACGACTCATGTTTAGTTACCGATACTGTCAGGTTTGGTTCAGGCACGCAGTTTGTGGTTCTTCAGCTCCAAATATTTGTCCTCAGTGCGTCGCTGTCTGCTTTTCTTTACTCCATTAGGCAACTGGACTTGTTCAACCTCAATGGGTTGGTCGGGTCATCGCCTTAATTGTGTGACTGCACCTTCTCTTCTAGTTTTCGTGATTCTTGGTATCCAAGAGTGAAACCGTACTGTTCTCTGTGGTAGGAGTGCGAGGACCGTAAGATATCTCCTTCGGACGATCAAGTGTTTTCTTATTTTTGGGAGAAAGAATGCTTCTTTCCCACAGAAGATGGACGAGTTAGTATACATCGGGCTTAAGACTTGTGATTCGATGCCCAACAGCCAATTGTGGCTACAGGCGCATTATCCAACACGACTAAAGCACCGAATAGCCTACCGTCTGTAAAAAAGAATTCGGTGGTTGCCGTTGCGTTCAGATCCAATTATAAATTACGACCTGCGTCCTCCTTCTGGGCAATTGCCCCACAAGCAAGTGCAATAGACTTGAATCTTTGGCTTCTGCTATTGTCCCCCGTCGCTCCTGCTCACCTGCTCTCATCGGTTGCAAGCAAATTCCCTTGCAACCTGAGGAAGCGTAAGCAACATCTGTCTACGCAGTGTAGCAGCAGCGGCTAATCTTCTTAACTTATCAACCATGCTGATAAGGTCGCTTTCGTTTGTAGCTGTGCAGGTTCAGCGTCGATCCCTAGCTGTCTGCCCAACAAAAGACCTAAACATGCAATACTGCCGTCAAGTGATCGTCCCGGCGTATCAGCACTGTATTCCCTTTTTGTTTATCCAATAGGTCAAAACAAAATAAAAATCATTAAGCTTTAGCACCCTTTCGATACCTAGCTGCCATGCCACACGCACAGAAGAACCTGCCATGGCAGTACAACCGAACGCGAACCAAAGTAGCTCAGTCTACTCAGGGCTTACTCTCCGGATATCAGGTAACCTAGAATAAGATTTAACACCCTTTCGGTGTCAAGATGCCATGTCACGCGAAGGGAGCACGAGACTTAGGATACTTTTAGGTTGGCCAAGCCTAGACAGAGGAAGTCGAGAGGTATAGGTCGGGTTTAAATCACAGGCTTTTCGGTCAGTTAATTCGCGCTCTAACCATTGAGCTATTTCGCCCCTCCTCCCTAGAACCAGCGCCTTGTGGTCAAAATGGCTGAAGACTGCGTAGTAATGCCGACCGAATCTGTCAGAATCTGTAACCAACGACTCCAAACCCGGAATTTTCCATATCTGCGGGCGCCCTGACGAATTGCGGCAGCGGTAGTGTCAAGGACATTTTTGTGGAGGTCTTTCGGGACTCCGGATTGCGAAGTACGCAATTATCACTATTCTTATTGGTGATTTGAATGCTCATTTAGAGGGATTAGCATGAAAGGGAGCCGTTTCGATTGAAAATTTAGTTTGAATGCCTTCAGAAGCAACGGCGGCAATCGCTTCATAAAGCTGTGCTCTGATTATCATCTGTTTGTCGCAATTGCATGTTTTCAGCGCAAACGTGAACATTGTATTACCTAGTGCCCTTTCAGACGTGACTATTGTAGGACTCGAATTGCTCACAGCAATAAGGTACTGACGGCGATATTGTGTTCGGGAATATCACCCGTGTATGAATACCAGTACTTGGCTTGATTATCTTGGTTGTTGCTAATTTGTGTCTTTTCCTGGTGACATTCACCACTGGGGTTTTCAATACCTGCAAGATTCGGTCGTCTTCATCGGCTCTCTAGGCGAAACAAACCTGGCTGCCAAATGAAGAATTTAGGAAGGCACTGCATTCTACATTGAACTGTGCGCATCCCGGGACAGGACTATTACTCAATTCCTGTTGGGTCTCATGGAGACCCATTTCCATTTTTAGGCTAGGAAGGTGGTCACACTGACCACAGCACGATTCAGCGAGATCTCTTAAACTATGCCTGACCCTGAGTTTAAAGAGTGACAGGAAAAAATGATAGCTAAGAAGAGCCTGAGAGTGGAAGGGATAGCAGCAAATACAAGCAATCGGGCTATCTCCAAAATTCCCCGTAACACCGAGCCAAGAAAGCTGCTGGTCAGTGAATTCGCAGAGGCTCAAAAGTCAATCCTAAGTCACGCCGCCTGCCTTGGTAGGTAGAACACTCCTAAGAACAACTTAGCTGGCCTGAGGTACCTAGCATAATAATCACCACCAGCTTCAGTGGTACGTGAACTGCTCGGTTCCATCAGAGTGTGATGTCCAAAACTAAAACTTTTCAAGCGAAACAAAGCACCTGGTCCTGACTGAATTTCGCGTGCCCTGTTTTACGATGGAGATCTCATTCACAGTTCGACAAAGTTCTTGCACAACATTCGAAAGACGAATACTGCGCCAGAAAAGTTAATGTTCCTATATCTCAAAAAAGCTTCCGCCTTGAATGTGGGACCCATTGGGTTATCTGTTTAGTCATCGTTGCTTCTAAGTTGCCCACTGGTACTATCTTGCGCAGACTTACACTCGCAAGAGGCGGAGTCGTGAAATCCCAGCACAAGTTCGTTCGGGTTTCAGATGCATTGACCACATCTTTACCTTACGACAACTCGAATACTTCGACACATATTGCGGATCAACATTTGTCTCCTCAGATCCGAAGGCAGTGTTGGATTTTGTCGGGCGGCGATGTCTTTCCATCAAAAGTATGCCAGACATTTTTATTACACTTCTTCAATCGTTATATTGCACCATCCGTGGCCACATGAAAGTCTCCGGAAAGAGTTCTGAATTCATCACTAAAAAGTGAGGACATCACCTATCCTCATCAACTTCGTGATTGAAATAATTAACGAAGACACATTGGCAATGCCTCCCACGGTACGCGTGGGACTTCTTCCCGGGGGAGAATTTAAAGACTTGGAGTATGCGGATGATAGTTCACCATTCGGTTCAGATTTCTTTCAGATACAAAATATATACAAAATGTAAATAAGGTTACAGTGTGTTTTGGTGTGCACTTCGCACCCTTGGAGGACAAAGTTCCCTTACAAGACTGGGTGAGTGGATCACAAAGACCAGCATTAGCCTCAAAACCACTAGAAACTGAACAGGTTTACCTGTCTAGGCGGCTCTCACGTCGAAGGTTAGCATTACTGACGGTTGGATGCCAGAATCGCCAAAGCCTCTTCTGTTTCCTTTGAACTCAGATACCTCTGGGGTCGACGTGACATTACGTCGTAGAAGAAAGGCAGAGTCTACAACTCGACAATGCATCATGTTGCTTTACGATTGTGCAGCCTAGACACTGCGATGAAGACAAAAGAAAATCGTCCTCGACCGTTGGTGCCCTGGAACCATTGCATGTGTATCCCCTGTTTGAATCTATGCCTTATGCACCATAGATAATCGGACTAACAGTGTTGAATTGAGGCGAATGGCTTTTAGCAACAAATCAAGTGTTTGTCCAGTTGCTGAGTTGTTTTGGCTGTACCAGCTTTGCTGGCTTGGCCGTGTGCTACGTATACCAGACAGTCAATTACCTAACCCTATCCTGCTTGCTGACAGGTTCGGACTGGAAGTTACCACATGGCTGACAGCGCACCATCTGGAGATGGAAATGAAAAACATAAAGGTTCTTGACGGCACTGATGAATGTCGTCTGCGAGGTCGGGATATAATAGATCCACCAAGTCAGTGGTTAAGGACACGCACCAACACTGCGACGTCACGCAACCAGTGGCGGTGTCGCACCTGTTTTGGTGTTCTTGACCATTTACCCGCTGTTCTGTTTTTTTTTGTATTTTGCTTTTCTGTGCCCCCACTTTCCTACATTACCCACTGCCGTAATCTGTGGTGATCCGAACCACCGTACATACATACATGGTTCACGGTTGTCAAGCTGAACTTATTCTTCATTTTTCTGTAACCGTATCAACAGCAGGCGAAAGCAACATAGCATTTTTATGTTAGCAACTGATTAACGGAACCGAAGAGACTGATTTGACTATCATGTCAACCACAGGAAAGACGTAACAATATCCAAAGTTTGGAGTGGAGTATTCGGGAGACAGCATATGCCTTCATGTAGCTCCATGTTGACAATAAGGTTGACGTCAAAAACCAAAGTTCTTTAAATGTAGATGGCTTGGCCTCCTGCACTGTACGTAGCATGCATCACAGTGCTTTGTCCTTTTTTCGGGAGATTTGGTTCCTAGTAAGATAATATAATCAATGGTGTGCTGTAGGTCGATGGCGAGGAGCTAACTGTAGTTCTGGTGAGCCTAAGCTTGATAACTGCGTTTGGGCCGCACATCTCTTTGGATAATGCACCAAAACTTCGCCTCACGTGTCATTTAAATAGTTATCCGCTTTTAGTTGGTGGGTTTGGGGACTCATCTTTCGTGTTTTACCGCTTTTACTTGACTGCGCACCGAAAGACGTTTAATTCAAACGGATCAGATTTACCTTTTATAACATTACCTATCCTATTTTTTTCAGTTCTCCGTAGTTCCTGTACATACACCTAACACTAGCTGCCAGAAGCAATTCTGCCGATTGCCGTACCCCCTTTCCTGCATCAGACCGTATCAAACATGCTACCCGAAAGTGACTTTGACCAAAGTTCTGTATCCACTGTTTTACCGGAAACATTTCTTCCAACTCCTCATCGCAGACCTTACGTTACTGTCACAATCCTGATTATCGTGAATTTGTTGAATTACATGGATCGCTTCACAATAGCTGGTAATGTTTCCGTTTTTCCCGCCCTGTTATCTATTTGCCATTAAGGCATACCTAATTTTGTCCAACAATACTACTCAATCAATGATGAGCAACTTGGGCTTTTACAAACAGTATTTTTCATATCGTACACACTTCTCAGTCCAATTGCTGGCTATTTGGGTGACCGGTGGCACAGAAAGTACATCATGCTCATGGGCCTTGTGTTGTGGATTGTCGTCACTCTAGCCAGTTCTTTTGTCCCTCCTGAGGTATGTTTGTCCGTAATTGATGTGAATAATGTCTATTTTCTTTATAGCTTTTTCGGGTGTTTCTCTTCACGCGGTGCCTAGTCGGAATCGGGGAAGCAAGCTATTCTACGATAGCCCCTACAATAATTTCAGATCTGTTTGTTGGTAGTGCGCGAACAAAAGCACTGGGATTCTTTTATTTTGCCGTACCTGTAGGAAGGTATGTTAGTTTTGTGTCGTTAAGTTGCGCAACTTAATTCCCATGTTCGGATTTCGTAATTGTATATTTTTGCTCAATACAAGGTAGCTGAAGTGGCTTTCATGATATGTGCTTAACTTGAAGTGCTGAAATACTTCTGAGATACCTAAAACATGGAAGCACGGGATTTCAAATTTGATGGTCTTCCCGACCTTTTTCGTGGAAACGCTCTTGGAACAGTCATTTTCTTTCTGCACTGTGACGTGACAGCAAAATACAACGGAACGATGATCCAAAGGCGTTCATAATTTAGGGCCAAGTTCGCATTGCGTGCCCACTTGATAACTGGGTTATACAAGTGTGGGCGCTTTCCAGGGTAGATTTCGGCGTGGCTCACAACGCGCATGCATTAGGTGTCACGTTCCAGCGTCCAGTGATCAACGTTAAACAAATATACCAGAATGTATAGCGGTTATAGTGAAATACAGTCATTGTCGAAACGTTTTCAACAACCTTCAAGAGAAACGGTTTTATTCATCTGATAAATATCCGTAGCCATTTGTCTACTTGTCCCATTCCTCTATCCTAACTATGTTGATCGCCATGAACTATGGCGTTGCCTGGCAACCAAGGGTCTACTTCCAAACAGTTCATCCATGGCCAACGCTTGTGGACCCGTACGGGTATACAGCAAGATTTCGTCTCTCCTCCTCCATCTCCTCTCACCCTTTCCGTAGAACTTTGTTATTGACGCATTACTTGGCACTCCTCTGCCCTTCCCCAAAATCTCAGTTTGAAGTAACCCATGAGCGTCCGCTCACAGACACTTAGCGGACTCAGACGATGTTGCTCTTCTTGACCCGGATCAAGTAATGATACCAACCAACTTAAATAACCTAAGTAATTCTGCTACGCCTTTCATGCGTGCAAAATTCAAATTGCTGCCACAAGACTGGGTGAGGTGAAACCCAAACTTCATGTTTTCGGACCAACCAATCAGCGTGGTAAATAAACCCACTCAACTGAGCAGTTGTCTAAGTTCCGACAGACTGATTTGATTGATGGAATCCGGGAAGCCGGGACAGATTTTGCCAATCTGCGATACCTATGACGCTGGCGTGGCGTCACTTCATCCGTCACAAACAAGGTATACGCGGCGGTGCTGTGACCCATACAGTTCTGTGAATCAGAAACGCGATGGCTGTTTTGGGGATATCGGGTGAACAGTACTGAGAAACGCCATATTGTTTTAGGAGGAAGGAACTCTAACGATCGACGAGCTACTCGTGCTTCGTAGTTTACGCATATCAAATGATCGTTTACCTCGCAACCCCTTCCTTCAGCCCTGTGGTGAGTGGAAACGATCGAGGCAAACAGTCAATTATGTGTCAACAAAGTATGGAAACATTAAACGATAAACTCAGTTTTGATAACGTTTCTCCCTTGGATCGGAATCCTGGGTTACGACTCATGATTAGTTACTGATAGTGTCGGAAATGGTTTAGCTCGAGATACTCCACCTCGTAGCTCTTTTGCATTGCGTTGCTTCGGGGATGGCGAATCGCCAACCAACTGATTATTCATCGCCTATTGTAACTGTACCACTTGGTGCTCTTATGTTAAAATCGACACCGTTAGGTTCCCAACCGCGACTGGATTTCGCGAATGTAGAACGGTCGGTTACGTTTTTTCGCTGTCGATGCTGTCCACTGGCGGTATACCATTGCTCAGGATACCCGGGTATTCCCTTAATTCATCTCTACTATACTGTTCGAAATATACCGGGTCGCTGTACGAATGTGAAAGCGCTGCATGCAATAGTGGCAGAATGCTGAGCAGGAGGTTAACCTACATTCGTTAAATTTCATCCCAAAAGTCCACACTCGGAGCCCGAATTTCCGCCTTACATCGAAAGTGAGTTTCGAACTCATGTTAATTCTTTTTAGACTCTCGCAGTCTGGTCCTACGATGTGATTTGACCCGCAGATCAATTTCGAGGCACAAGTCTGATTTGAGGTATTTATTGGCCAATGGATTCCATCATTCGCAGTGGTTGACATTCACTGTGGTGACATAACTAACGACGATCAACAACGGTACTACGTAAGCAACCTCTGAGGAAAGCAGTGTCACAGGGTAGACACGAGTTTTATTATCAGTAATCAGTGCGAGTCCTGGCTGGTCGTTATATTTTCTCACCGCACGCCATCATCCTCGAATTCCTATGCACATAGAAAAATTGAGAATGATCTACTATGATCGGATCGATTGACATTGTGTATTCGACAACTTTGCGACCGTTGGATTCATTGCTCCTTTCATTTCGTTTGATGGCTCGTTGGAAACAAGGATGTTATCTCATAAAGCAGTACGTGATTCTCAGCCGGCGCATTGTCTCCCCCCTCATCCATGTTTGTGATGCACAAGCCTACAGAACTGCATTGGGTTTATATACGTATACTCTGCATCCGCAGTTATTGAAGACGAATGAAATTGTAATATTCGGTGTCTTGTGTCTTTTCCGTATTTCCTAGTTACCCTCTCAAAACCATCGCACTTAGCCATGCGTGACTTTTTCGGAACTGCTAATATCAGACAAGAGATTTCTCTCCCCTAACTTTTGTTTGTTGTCTATGTGTTTCAGTGGCTTTGGCTATGTAGTGGGGTCTGCAATGGCTCGTATGTCCGGTGAGTGGCAGTGGGCGCTACGTGTAACCCCTCTGTTGGGCATCGTTTGCGTTCTGCTCCTAGTATATCTTCACCAGGATCCGCCTCGTGGGTTGGCTGAAGGGGCTCCACCGATGAGCACCACAGCTTGGTGGGTTGATTTGAAATATCTCGTCTGCAACTCGGCCTTCGTTTTGGTCAGTGGTGGCTTCACGTGCGTTTGCTTCATTCTTGGTGCGCTGACTTGGTTTGGAGTTCATTTAATCGAAATGGGCATTGACGCTGCACATGACGACCCAATGGCTTGGCGAATGTACGAGTAAGTACTCTCGGTTTGACTTCTTTTGTCACTTGACTTGTAGGATCGTATCAAGCTGTGAGGAGTAAACACCAGTCGAACCACTGATAGGTAATTTGTAACGAACCATTTGTGATGCTTTCACCAGTTTATATGAGACTAAATGGTTTTGACCTCTAGTGATTCTCATTGGGAAGTGCAAGAGTCAATTTTCAACCTTTTGCTCATATCGCCCCTTGTCACGTTCCTGCAACAGTCACTGCCTTAACACTAGAACGATGGAGAAACATTCACTACAAAAAACATGGCGTTTCGAAGATCGGCACACCGATAGGACAGAAAAAACTTCATAGCGAAAGATGTGAAGAAGTTTCGTGGAAGATAGTGAGTGAAGAACAAAGTCGAGTAGGTTGTAATGAAACATGGTTTCAACTAAGACATCGCGAGCAATATGCAGCAGGTGTGAAGCATGTGACTGTGGTCCGTAAACTGTGCAATCACATCTCGTCAGCTAAGCCGGTGAAGCAAAACCCACAAAAGTGGTCGTATGAATAAGACCGCATGCCGAATGTTACAGGTCAGGAAACTGATCAGTAGGTGACCAAATGATGATACAACTACCTGAACGTGGGGAAACTGGATGTGCATCAAGAATGGCATAGCTCATCACTTACTTAATGGTGCGGCTGATCAGCTTTGTTGGAGCTTTAAGTTGTGTGCACACTGATCAAGATATTCGGCAAATTCACCTCGGTCACTGTAATCTTTTATAGCTTCTATGATTACGACTGCGAGCGAAACAAAACAGTTCACTGGTCAGGCGAACTAGTTGTGTGCACACTGACCAAGATATTCGGCAAATTCACCTCGATCACTGTAATCGGTTATAGCTTCTATGATTACGACTGCGACTGAAACAAAACAGTTCACTGGTCAGGCGAACAGGAAGTTGTACGTAGCTGGTCACTGGTATGATCCAAATACATGTTCTCTTCACCTGTATTCCGTGTACAAAGGGCGTTCAATGTCTACATGTTGGCTCGTACTTGCTAGCGATGCCATTCAAATTCAGTATTCAAGATGTTTTGTCCCTCGAAGAGAACGTAAAAGCGATTCAGCTTAAACAGTCTGGATTCAACGAGGTTACACATGTAACCGGCTATTTTTCGGCTATTTTCATACTTGAAACTTTCATTTTAGCCATTTGTCGACCTATATAGACAATCATCGAGCTCCCAGGGTTTTCCGGATATTCTGTGGGATTAGTCATCAATCCCAGAGGAAGACACCACAATAAATAAATCGTGGGTTTGCGATTTTACCAAAAGTTTACGGTCCAGATATGGTCAACTCCCCACACATGTAATCTCCCATGATCCAACACGAAATAGTCCGAAACTACGAGCCTAAAAGTCACCCGTACAATCCTTCTGCATTTTAAGACGCAGTTGTAATATGGTGTCAGTTTGCAACGGGAACCTCTTACTCTCATGTTTACCTAAATGAGCTGAGCATCTACTTCCTGTTTATCTTGTGGTCCCTTTCGATTCGCACCCTGTTTGTACCGGGGACCACAACAGGATTATTGCCTTTATCACTGTTCAAATCACCCGATGCCACACCTACTTGCATTCTTTTGCCCGTTTACCCTTTCGGTCGTCAGTTCATCCCCTTAACCGCTCTTTTGAGCAAGTTTTGTCTCCCCTTGTGTAAGTGTGGTCAAAGTTGATTATTTTTAGTATCCTATCTTTCAGCTAACCTGACAGTTGACTGGCGTGACGTTTTATGAAGCACTGGACTTCCGAACATCGTGTTGCAGTGCAAATTTTTAGATACCAACCCCGTCCAAACCACGTTAATGACTTAGTCAGATAGCTTAAATCAGTCATTCATGAGGCGCTTATGAATGCTTTTGGTTAGTTAAACCCGGTTGATTGACCAGTTGAGTTCATCCTTAGAACCCGACGGCTACGGTAGCGTTGCTGTTCGATCGTTATTGCTACAGACTTCACTCGGCAGTCCAAAAGCTAGGAGTGCACTTTCTAACAAAGGCTTAGTGCCACTGGTGGTGTCACTTGTGTCATTTCCCCTCGTTGGTGATCAACTCAGAATGAAGAGTATTGAACAACTGGACATCATTATTGCGTGCACTATGCCACCACCGCTGAAACGCAGCAGTTCATCATTCATTTTAGTGTATGGGTTTTGGAGACGGAATTCCTCCGTATAGTTGCTCCGTTCAAAACGAATTTCGCCCTGTGAGCAGACTGCTCGCGTCACTGTGGCCCCAAAAGTTGAAATTACAATTACAGCACGAACTATACGAGTGATTTTTCTCACATTATCCAGCAGCTTCAAATGACCATGTGTGTATCGTTTCTTACTAAACAAGCACAAACTCATCATATCAGTAGTTGCAGAGGTCAAGGGATCACCTCGATGTGGGTCTATGTTACTCAGGGAAAACATTGGAAATGAACTAAACCCGCTCGACCTTAAGCGGGCAACAAGCTGGAAAAGGGCTTGACAAAGTACGGAGTATCTTTTATCCAGTTTACCAAGGCGAAGAAGGGGTAATTTTCTAAGAAGGCTAATAACTTGGTACCATACGTAAAGCGAGCTCCATAAGGTGTGTCACAATAGTGGTGCTAACGGTAGTAGCAGTGGAAGTATATTGTGTCATCTAGGTAACGTGATAGATACTGTCAATATATTGTGCACTTTTTCCCCGGTATTCATCCCCTGTTAACTTTAATTGCCTACTCTGTTGTTTTTGTTTTACAGCGTCCCGCTAATCTTTGGCATTAGCTTGTGTTTTGCCGGGATTATTGGAGTTCTGCTTGGTTCGTATCTGGGACGTCGCCTGTCGCTCATTCAACCGAACGCCGATGCATTAGTGTGCGCTGGTTCACAGTTTATTTGCGCTCCAGTCCTGTTCTTTACACTGTTATCGCCGTCCGTTAGTTTTTTCCTTTGTGTGGTAAGTTTCCTCATTCTGGTCAACGAACGTTGTTAATTGAATATACAAACCACGTTTACTGGACTGCCAGATTAATGGCAGGCACTGCCTCTGAACTCTTCGGTTCTTCCCTCAGGGAAATCGTCGCTCGTAATAAGGTGCAGCGCTTCGGTTTTTGGATGATGATTCAAACTGTTTAGACCGATGTGAATGCACCAACTGATTCCCATCTTAAGGGGAATACTTTTGTTCGTATTCACACTACTCATTTTAGTGGTCCTCTTGTCTTCAGACAATTAGTCCACACCAAACATGTCACATTTTCGCTCTTATTAGAGCTTATTAGTAGTGTATACCTGAACTTCTGACATTTAGCATGCAAAGCGAGCTAATCCCCACTACTCCATCAGTGCACGTTGAACGCATTTGAGTACCACGTTCAGACGGCCCAACGTGTTCGCACCCTCGATAATTCGATTGGTTTGCTCCATCCATTGCGTTCAGGCCTTCCTCAATCTGATGTGGCCTAGTCAGATTCGTTGCATCAGGACAGGAGGAAGACCGCTCTAATGGGAGCGATGTGAACACAAGTTCTGTATATACCTTAACTATCCAAAACTTTTTGTTGTACATACAACTACTGCTACTGCATTTCATAAACTCATTGTACGGTAATCAGCACGTTTCATTCAAGTCAGTTTTTGCAGGGTGATGGTGATTAAATAACACTGATCGTTCCACTATGGCACCATTCCGGTGCATAGCTGCTGTGCCACTTAAAGAAACCAATATGAATGGGTTGCTACCACATTGCCGAAGTCTAGACTGGATTAGCCAATACTGGCATTGAACCACGAACCTCTTGGTCAGTAGCCTCTTGCGATAATCGCTGAGCTATCCTGAGCGCAGATCACACTCCCAGTGATACACCTTAGAATGTGAACCACCTGTCAGCGCAAATAAACGACATTTTGTAGAACAATACATTTCCCGAGCTACTAGGCTCATCTTCATGATGGAACAGTATTCGAAAACTGATTTAACTCTAGGGTTAGCCAGTGTAACAATTCCTAAATTGGGACTACACTATTTTGGCCTTGGAGAAGACCAAATGGACGTGTGTGGCAAGGAATCGACTTGGATTCCCATTAGTGGTTACTGGTACCAGTTTGTGGAGGAATAGAATGGGATAAACTTCATTCACCTATCAATAGAGTGTTTGTGTGAGTGTTTGTGTCCACCCACATTGTACCTGCCTCCATAGTTGATTTGAGCAGCAGATCCCTTTCGTAAAAGTCGCTCTTGATCGATGCAGATAAGTGTTCTACGTTGCTAGTGGTCAATTTCACAGCTCGCGTTCGTCACTTCCTCATATGGAGTGTTTTGTCGTTTGATTGACGGCATATTTTTAATTGTGTTGTCTGGTTTGCTGTTTTGTGGATTTGCCTTCCAGCTAGTTTCGTTTAGCGCATTTTTTGATGACAAACCATCCCCTGTACCCGTGTAATACCCTCACTGAGTGGTCGAGTAAGCCAAACTTTAACTCATTCTTCATTGCTTATGAGGAACACGCTAATTCCTACACTAGATTTCTAATTCACCTAAAGAACGGCATGGTAAACAATCTAGGATCCATCGTCTGATTTATATGTTCGTGATAATGGATGCGTCCCAAATGAGCACTCGCGGTGAACAGTAATGAGTTTTCAAATAGGGCATCAAGATGACATTAACCTCGGAACGCAACCAACCCATTTACCATTGTTTTCCTGTTATATCCAAGGTGACCAAAAACCATGTTCCATAGGTTGTTTTCGGCGGGTTGCTTCGGGTACGAAGCTGAAGTGGTAGACAAAAGGAGACTGTCTGTGTCGCACATGCGCCGTTACCATGTATTCAAAGCTGAAACGTCCAATTTTCAGGATATTGCTACGCTTGAATTCAGTGCCACACTGCGTTGTCGGTGTTGTTTAACCCAACCTTCCATGTGACGGTAGCTCACTGAGAATTGGCTGGTCGCCTATTCGGCGTGTACATGCGCATTCGAAGACACCTAGTAGAAGTTAATCAGTGGTGTAAAGACAGTATTTTTTCCGCATGAATGCACTTCACCTGAACACGGCGAAGGCTTACAGGGCCGTCCTTAAATGGTTGACACAGTGATATGGATGGTATTAGTGGTATTTGAGCCCGGTACGTTTTGCCTTTTGTTAAACTTGTCCTGATATGCAATTTGCTTTGTGAGTAATACAGTCTACCAATGATGTTGGGACTTAATTTTCCGAGTTGTCCTTGCGAAAAACTGGAAACTTGTTCTACTGACAATCGACAGGACTGGATTAGGGCAGCCATCACCGAATCGAACTGAAACTCATGCTGTGCGAATAAAACCCAAACACAGTCAGAGAAAATCTCACGCGTGCGTCTGCGTATTATCGACTATTTCGTATTTTGTTTACCAAGAGCAGTTTCCAGATTTACTATCGCGGTTCACCACCTGATCAGTCGCCAGTCGTCACAATAATGAATTTGAAAAGAGTTGGCTTGAGAAGCCTTCTAAGAAGCATGTTCAAACATGTTATCGCTCTGAAGTGATATTTTTGCGTGCAATACTTCTGGAATCGAATTGACTCGACGGAGATCCGTAAACATCAAGTAAATTGATCATATGAGTTTTTATTGTTTTGCGCTAGTCGGTCAATTCACTGATTACTGAATTACTTCTATCCAAGGATCGACAAAAAATAAGAACCCTTCGAACACAAGACTAAATCTTTTCACATTTTGCAACTAATGTAAAGACAAATCCGCATGGGATTCATATGGACCGAAAATACAGTAAGTACGTGTGAATCGGCTTCTGGTACATAGCCCTGCGTCCAATACATTTGTTGCTTTTGTTGCATTCTGTATACAGTCACGTTTGACCTTTGGAACTACATCCTCTCTTTTTCGGCCTAGGTCCTCGTGTTTCTTGTCGATCTTCTATTGTGTCTCTGTTGGGCGTTGGTATCAGATATGACAATGGTGAGTTCCCCTTGACGGATCCCTCATGGCTCTCCATCAAATTATGTTCCCATCTTGACCATTTCAAGTGCACTCTTTTTTATAATTGTTTCCGGGTCTATGACTATCCGTTGCTACATATTCTTCAGCTTTGTTTACTTCGTAGCGGTGAAACTAGGTCATTGCCGCACCCACTTCCTTGTTTCGCGTTAGTCTCCATTTGGACGTTCATATTGCCTGTGGAGGGCATCGGTTTCGTACAGGATGTAGCCTCAAAACGATTACCGACTGTTAGTTTGATCGAAGCCATCGAATCTGGCCTCTGTGTGTTTCTTCGCCAGAAATATGCTCCAAATCTGTGGGTCTCCATTCAATAGCGAAGATGTCAGATTTTAACAAACTACCCTCCCATATGGGTTACTAAACAGAATTTTTATGAGCACAATCCATCTTTAGGGCAAACTCTTGATCATCCTATAGGAAAAGCTTTCATACCTGGTCAGTGGTTTTATGCAAAGAGGCGCAGTTTTGGTTGATTTATGGGCTCTGGTGACGGGTTCCACTTTTTAGAGTTCAGCCATCTCAGGATGGCTACCTGGAATTTACCAGACAAAGGTCATCAAGTCCATATATTGGAATTAGTCACAGTACGGAGCGGTCTATGAGTTGTCATGTTATCTTTGTCATGGCAGCGTGATCGCTAGGAACCGTCCATTCCTTGATGCATTAGCACTGCTTTCAATCGAGGAAGAACGGCTGGACAAAGTTAATCTAAAAAAAACCGTCCATTCCGACCAACCCCTCGGTCAATGGACATTGGGGCTGGGCCATTGAATGCTACACTTGAACTAGACACCAGTGCGCCAATATGGGAATCCATAAACAAGACATAGTCTGTTCGTGAAGTCTCTCCGAAACCCAGCACGCTTGTTCAACGCTGGAGATGCAGTGGTCTGAACATAGTGTGAATCAGGTCAGCACATTTATAATTGGTTACGGGATTTGTAGAATTTGTGCACACATCACTCTCGTTTGAACAGTCGTCCTTCTGTCTTGGTGCAATTATTCTGATGAGTACACACCAAAGGGAGCAGGCACTCGACGCGAGTATAACTCTTACTAGGGCTCATCAGCAGTACATCTTGGTCGTACCGGGGTTTGAACTCCGAACGCCTGAGATGCGAGGTGAGCGTATTATCACTACTCAACCAGCGCACCCTGGACGCATCTGGATTCTAATGTCTGAACAGGTGAGAACATGTTCACACTTGAGCAATGTGATTGGTTTGTCCGACACCTCGAACTACGACCCAGTTGTATTTAGAGTTGTTCTGTGTTAGGACAATCGAGCCCGTTTTGGAAAAATCAGGTGAACCTATACGTTCGGTACGGTTTAACGGCACTGTATTAACCCAGAGATGCTTGTGCCTTTTAAGCACCCAACAGCAGACATGATAGGAAACCCGATTGCTTTCAGCTGTGACCGCCACTTCAAGTAACTTAAGACGTAACGAGTGTAACTTACACCTGCGGGCGAGATGGCTCAAGTGTTTAGAGCGCGAATTTGCTGACCGGAAGGTCCGTGGTTCGAGCCCGACCTCGGCCTCTCGACTTCCCCTGTCTAGGCTTGGACAACCTGGCAGTATCCAAGCCCTCGTGCTTCCTTCGCGTGGCATGGCAGCTAGGCACCGGAAGGGTGCTACAGCTGACTGGCTAACACCTGACTAGCTAGTTTTGCGTCGCTGGACTTATGGGATCCGGAGTAGGTTACCCCAGACTAGCTAATTGCTGAACAAAATTTGTTAAATTGTCCCACTGTACCTTCATGACCGATACAGTGGTGAACTACGATGGATGCTGCACGAGACATTCGAAAACGGGCAACAGTTGGAATAAGTTGTAGCACTAGCTGGTCGCTAGTAGTTGGATGTGAGCTGTGGAATCACCAGTGGTCCCCACTGTGGGAGATACTGTATTCCCCCTGAAACCTGAAGGAATTGACGCTTGACACTGGTGCCGCTATAAAAAACAAATACCTGGTGTTAGTATTGTTGTTACTGATGAATTGCTACAGGCTTCTGTAAGTCTGTCCGTCGATCTCATTCCCTCGGGTGTACATCGGTGCAGGGGGCTTACATGCAATACCAATTTAGGCCCTGCTCAGGTATACATGTACAGCAGCTATCCTTTGAATGTCAAGTTCGATAGCCACTAGCCAACAAATTCCCTTACTTTTTGTACGATTTCCCCCCTAAAAGGGTCACCATTTTTACTTAAGATGACCAGTTTGATGGTTTGCTTTTGGCCGGTGTGTAAAATGACACATGTTGTGTTTAGTTGGACCAAACTTCACCCAGCTTACCGTGATATTCCCGCGTATCCTGTCTCTGTATGTCATCCGGGGTGAGTGTGACGACCGTGTACAGTTAAGCGAATGCAAAAACAAAACCTCAGTCATGATGGGTCTCTTTAGGCAAAGATGATGCATGTATCTTCTTGTTGATATAAAGATTACACACCGAACTGGACAAACTACTTAATGTATTCAAGGCTGAATGAAGCTTTTTAAGGGAGGACGAAGCATGTTTATGGCCTTTAATTAACGCATCAGTTACAGTACTGTTCTGGAGATGCCAATTCCCAGATGATGACATTTCTAGACCTCTAAAAACTCGATAGAAAGCACGCGTCGTTTGATCACTGCTCCCCGTCTAGTCATCAAGTCGGCAGTTTCAGCCTACTGGGGTCACTGTTGTCATCCACTCACATGATATCGCTGCTATTTTCAGTTTTTTTCACATCACACTTGGGCGTAGCTTGGCACGACATAGGACATGTGAATGGTATGGGAGCACTAAAACATGAATGTACCAAAAACCTCAACCGCCCACAGCTGTGCACATTTTACGTCATTTCAGCGCCCCAAAATATCAGGCTTGGCTAATTTACTGTGCAGGCTAGTGAGACGTTACAGGGACCCCGTTTTCTGGTTTTCCACTTCTATGCATCTTTCCAGGCCGCTAGGGTATGGACGATTGATCTAGGTGTCACTTGTGACCGGTTCGTTTACCCTCATTTGATTCCTACTCAAGTCAGTATGGGCTATCGGGGCAGAAAAACGAACCTATGCGAATTACCAATTGTTGAAAATTTAATATAGCACGTGTACAAGACCCTAAAGCTTAAAGAGTCAATCAACATTGGGGAACTAGAACTAGTTCATGTTTAAATCCATGTGCTATCGTGATATACAAAGTTTAGTATGGTTTCCTTATGTTCTCAAAGCAGAATTTTTCCTACAACTGATTAAAACAAATCTTCGATGCACTATCTTCAATGAACTACATCTGAGTTTAAGAAAACATTATAATTGTTCATAGTTGTTCGCTTTTAGGTACACCAACCTGTCCTCATGGAGGCCACTGGGTTCACAGTGGCCAGGCTCTTTGCTCACTAGAGGTGATCAATCTCAAGGAGAACCACCGTATGTGTGTATGTGCACACCACCATATCAGCCAACTACAGTTGCACAGACCTGTGCACTACAAGACGGTCAAGGTGTTCCGTAGATAACTGAATTTACCTTAGACACTTATGGATGACAAGTTAGACAGTTCCATCATGTCATCCTTCTAAAATTAACCGCCTCCCTCTTATCGGATGAAGTTTGATATCCCTCTGAAGCAGTGCGTTGTGAGATTTTGTTGCATGCCACTTTCTCTCCGTGGCTACAGCGATACCTATTCCAAACTAGAGAGCTGCTTTACGTCATGTTTTCTTCGACTGTACGATTATTTTAGAGTGTCGTTGTACCGACGAGGAGGTCAACAGCATCTGCCGTTCAAATGATCATGACTCATGCTTTGGGCGATTGCATCAGTCCGGCCATAGTGGGTGCGGTGAGTTCAGTGTGTTGTATTTTCACGCTCAGTTTCATCATTCAATGTATCATTTTGCTCAACACATCCGTATTTTCAGCACTCCATGCACCGTCCTGCCCCTGTGGCCGGACGCAGAGTATGGTGCACGCTGCTGAACTCTTTTGTCTTGCTTTTATTTTACAAGCCGAGGAATATTTGGCTATCAGTCTTTGTAATTCCACTGTGACCCAACGATCATTCACTTATATTCATGACAAAATTCATCCCCTTCTTAACGCCACTCTCCAATGACTGCTGATGTAAAGTTATGAGTAATCCGTTCACCGAATCTATCGACTATATATAGCGAAACGAAAGTTAGAGGCTTCTTTATATTATTTCACAGACTGGGACACTTTCATACAGCTATTTTACGGACTGTGGCTCAGGTTGACAGCATGTCATTCCTCTGCATAGCTCGTTGAAATAACGCTCTTCATATCTCCAAAACTTGGAGTTGCGTTTACTTTTCGAAAAACGGTAAACTCAGGTGACAGTTATTTCAAGGTATCGTCTACGGCCTTCCTGTGGCATTATACATTCTCGCTGTCTCCCGACTTATTCTTTTGTTGCCTGGGTTGCAGATTGTAATGCGTAACAGTTTCCATTCAAGGATCAACGACCTCAGCTTAATTGTAGACCACCTACAATGTGTATGGCCCTTCTCAAGTCAGCTGTCGACTAGATGCTCGCAGTGGTTTGCAAATCAGATGATAAGCAGTTATATGCTTAGTTACGTGATTCCTCTCCCTTTCACCCGTTTGTCCTCTGATTGATTGAACGTTTATGGATCCGTTTTTTCTTCCAGTGACCTCAAACCACCTTGCCATTTCTGAGCCACCAGCACGTGCGCTGTTAGATGAACCAGATTCGAACGATGTAATTCAACAGGTGTGGCCACATGACCATGGATCCGTTTTTCCTTCCAGTGACTTCAAACCACCTTGCCATTTCTAAGCCACCAGCACGTGCACTGTTAGATGAGCCAGATTCGATCGATGTAATTCAACAGGTGTGGCCACATGATTAACTGTGAATCGGACGATTCACTAACAATTAGTCCGATGCGATGGCTGGTAAAATTAGAATATCGGTATAACTTTATGTTACGTCCATGCCCAATTGCTGCAGTTGACCGAGACCACAACGGAACGATTCTATAGTTACAGACAATTGTACAGTTCAGTAACGATCAGATACTTAACCGTTGTCGCTACGGTGTCAAGAGATATCATCCTGTCCACAGATGAGTTAATGTGAAATCAACCTCCAGACAATCTCAAAGTATCGAGTTAAAAAACACGCCAGTGCGTATAAGCGAGCCTTCCAAGAATAAAGTCATTCGGATAACAGTGTGCGAATCCGACTGTGCTTTCGCTACGCCGGACCGTATCCTACTGACAACGTTGGTATTACAGTAACACGAGTTATTTATTTATCTTATGTGATAGTGGATTTGGCTGCTTTTACTGTTAATTCTGCTTTTCCACTGGGCTGTTTGTAATAAGGCATGCTGATTCGATGTTGTAAACATTATTCTGTCCGGTAAAGTTCTAAACTCCGTGCTTATGAATTGGAGCCCATTGTCGGTAAAATAAACGCCGCGAATCCCGTGTCGTCCAAAACATCTCAGGCGGTTTTTCACGAATCCGGCCGTAGTGCTGCAGTTGGTCAACTTCACCAAATCCCATGGTAGTCATTCGCTGGAAGTCGTTGCTTTTGGTTACATTCGGAGGGTTCTCGCAGCAGCATTGGCTGTTTCCTCTGTCTCCTGTCGGCCATTAGTCAGACGGTGCATTCTGAGACGTCGTCCTTGATACGACTCCTCATTCCGGGCCAGAAATAGAGGTCGCGGGCCATTTGGAAGCTACAATCGACTCCTTATACTGACTCCTTATGTTGATTCCTTATACTCGTCATATTATTTCGGAGACCACTCCGTACGCACTTTCTTACCTTCGAAGAAAACTCTGTTTTCTACTCGATACTAGTCTTAGGTGACTGGTCAACCTCTGTGACTCACATGGCGCAGTCACGTGAACACTGAATCTCTTTGATTGCATCTTTGATCTATTTCAGGTTCTCATCTAAGATGGAACTCGTATCAAAATTACTAACTAGTTAGAACTTCTTTCTCGTAAACTCTGGAAAATTTATCCCCTTTAAACACTTGGCTTGATGGAAGTTCATAGTCATGCTTTCGTGTCTTTATGACAGTCCTCTGCACTTAAAGACTGACAGTGGAAATGAGAGGTTTATGGTCCATAGTCACCACCATCTGCCACACGTTTAAATGTTGACATTTTCTAGGACAAACACGACTGCCGGCATCCTTCTCTATGCGTAGTGCTGTCCAGTTTTCCATAGGCTGCGATTTCTATAGTCTGTTGGCCCGCCTTCCTGAAGCAGCAGTGCTTTCAAAGCGCGTTGGATACTATCGTATTGAATGAACGGCTGCTTATTTGCATCGTAGTGACCTAAAAAAGTACTATGGTTGGTTGTAGATCAACAACCACCTGATCTGAAACCAGATAATGCTCTCGATCCACCACTATTCCGATATATTGCCAGGCGCTTGTCTTATCTACTCGAATACCTTTTGGTGCTCTTCATCTCATTCCTTTGGAAGCTAATCGGCTGCATCAAGTCGGCTAACTTTGGTAAAAACAACCACTGAGCTAATTGAACATGTCGTTCGGTGTGAAGACTGCTCTGGTATCATCTGGCATGGGCATGATCTAAATGCATGAGTCTTCGTATCCGAGCGCAAATCATTTGATGTTAGTAGATTTCAATGAAAAGTAAGAGGCTCGGTTTGATATTCTGGTTACTTAGAAATAGACGAATGTCTTGTTTGACAACGATTGAGAAACCAAACTACGTTGGCGTCGTGTTCTCCAGAAGTCCACTCTAATATTAGTACATCATCAGCAAAAAACATTGCTTCTGGAAGTCTGTCTAACGCCTGAATCAATCTCTCCAGGCATCCCCAACCCGAATGGGAAACCTTGCCGCATAAATCGGCCGAAGTAAGTACGGGACGTCGTGGGGTAGCTTGATTAGTTGTCGACAGGTCAAACTTGATGAAAAGTTTTGCATGACATGAGTCTGAGAGTGTAGTGCCGCATAAATCGGCCGAAGGAAGTACAGGACGTCGTGGGGTAGCTTGATTGGTTGTCGACAGGTCAAACTTGATGAATAGTTTTGCATGACATGAGTCTGAGAGTGTATTAGCTAGCTTAGGAAATCTATAGCGTTCACTGAGACTGCCCGGACTGGCGATGTTACGCGAACTTCACCATCCGCGATGGAAGAGCTAATTTCTCCTGGCAAGTAATCTAGTTCATCGTAAATACGAAGACGTTTCTCCTAAAAATAATGCCTGGATGCAAAGTACAAACTGACTTATCATCATATCAATGAACTTCAGTTCCTCAATCTTTGGAAGCCAAGAATCAGCATCAAATCCCTTTAAGTCAAGGGAAATTTCAGGGTACGGTGATTCCAATCCTATGTTTTAGTCAAGTGAAATTTCAGGGTACGGTGATTCCAATCCTCAGGGTTTTCTACATTCAGGTGTGTATGTCGGATGGAGTCTACAGGCAATAGCAACAGTCGTCAGACGTAGCGTTCAGAGATCATGTTTACGGAGACACCTGAGTCCACCTCATACAGGCATTGCTGGCCCTCGGTATTTAGGCTAGCGCGCATTCTCGTTGATCGATTACTTCTCACTCCACTGAAATCACATTTCGCTTATGTCGCCTCGACCCTCAAGTTGATCGCTCCTCATGTACAAATGATTTTGCTTATGGCGTTTTGAGCATGTTCGTTCCCACGCCTGACACTTTCATTTGAAGTGAATTCTTTGTGGTGAATTCTTCAACACATCCTTGTTTAGCTCAAGGACCTCAGATGAATCGCAGCAGTAGCAACAGCTTCATTATGGCATTTACTGACGCACTGGCTAAGCGACGGATGACGGCATTTGGGGAGGATTTTTGGCCCTTTTTTACGAACGACCAAAATGGTGCGGCCGTGAATCAGAATTTCTTTCACGCAGTCGCAAAAATGCAGAACTTGACGAGATCTTTCAGCTTTCACACATACTGGCCAATACTCTACTGTGGCAACTAATCCAGTTGGAAAAACGGAAATCGTTCAAACTGGCATAGACAGTACTCTTCGAATTTGATTATTATGGTTGCTGGATTCGTGCGTTCTCCATTGCTTTTAAGCGTGAGCGCAAAGGACGCCTTATCCATTTGCATACTGAATCACTCTCAGCTGGTATATCTTTAATTCCTGTCGAATGCGCTCAAAATTAGGAATTTATCATAGCTCTACTTTGATGGTTTCCACTTTTCCGCGAGTTTGTTCAGTTCACGACATGCCGTTTTCAAAAGAAACGTTATTCTATTGTTCGCAGATCCCGTTACACATTTCATCTTTCGTTCTCACACGTTCGAAAAAATACCTCATACGGTTGCAATCTTACCACGCTCAGCACAAAGTACTCTAATTTACTTCAATGAACTCCACTTCATCTTACTGTATAGTTCGAAAGAGTCTTAGGTTTCTGTGTCGATATTACCAAGCCCAGATGGTTCGGCTGGTAGTTGCGTGACATTGAAATCCCAGAACCGATTTGGTCAAACCACCGTTTCGATTGGACGCTGAAAATGCGGCCACCAAGCGACTGTGGATTCACAAGGGCCACTTTCAGCTTAACACGGTAGTTTTAGCTAACTGACGCATTACTGTCTGATATAGGCATGGCGTTTCTAATTAGCACCGTCTGTCGTGCCGCCACGCCATTTCGTGGATTCAGGGGCCGTCAACGAGCACACCAAATGAGCAACTTTCTTGCATGGTTGCAAAACATTGTTCCTGATGCGCTTTCGACACTGTCTTGAATTGCGTAGCAAATAGATGGTATCAGAAAACTACACTCGATGGATTGAAATATGTTTTCATCCTTGCTCAGTAGGTAGTCTAGTGGGTGAGTACAACTGGAGTAATGTGTGTCGCTTATTGCCTACCCAGCGGAGCCTCGGAAAGTTGCTTACAGAATTTCGCAGTGCATTGCGTTATTCAGGATCAAACCTCCACCTGCATGAGGCATGGTTGATGCTTGCTTGCGTGCAAGCCAAACCCGTGGGAGCCGATTGTCATCTGCTTAACAACGTGGGAGTAAATATAAAGTTTACTAAGTTCAACGCCTTCTCGCATATATGACTGTGTCCCATTGGTTTGATTGTTTAGATATGTGGTCACAAAAAATCAAACGCCCCATGTTTCGACCTCTAGCTCGACCAGTGCCAATGAGTCCCAGGGAGAACGAAGCAGTTGTCCACGGTTTCACTGATTCTGACGACGTGATATTTCACTTGGTTCTCTTTTTCTATTGAAATTGCGATCAGAATCGACTGTTAACTGGATCCATTGATTTTGTGAAGGGGCTACCTGTGTGCGGTAGTTCCACCTTTCCAAATTTGGTCACGCGATGGTTTTCTCTGAGAGACTAGTCATTTAAAAGTGGCCCTTTCCTTCAGAATACTCGCCGGAGGTTACCCTTTTACTTTGACCATAAAATTCCTCTGCAAACTTGCACAAGCCCCAATTATTCCCCAATTTCCGTTACCTCGCGTGAACAAGCAATCTTTCACTTTCTTGTTCCAGATTTCAGACGGGATTTCTGATATTGCTTCATTGGAAACACAGTATTTAAGTCTGCAACGTGCACTGTTTCTGACCCCGTTCGTCTGCGTTTTGGGCGCGCTTCTTTTCTCTCTGTTGAGCCTCTGTGTTGTGGAGGGCAGACTGGCAGTCCTACGGTTTATTGAAGGTACGTGTGGTGTCCACGCTTCGTGCGGTGTTGATTTCGTTATGCTACTTCTTATTTGCGGAGAAACTGCACAGGACATCAAACAACCAGTTCACAGGTTTCATTTATCTTATCTAGTCGCATCTTTGTGTATTCTATTAACAAAAGTGCGCAAAATATTTAAACCCATAGAAATTGAAACAAAGTTATACCGGCCAGATGAGCCTTAGTCTTGTAAACTCACTGTAGAAGTTGAATTACACCCTCTGTACATCAACTGTTCCGAATTATGTGCAGATAGACTCACGAACAGAACATCCAACACGGGCGGCTACTGATAGCCAGATATGTGCTTCATTAGAGGAAATTAACCTACTCTTTCGTCAAAATGACGCAATGCTGTCGGTTTCGCATATTGTTTTCCATGTTTTTCGGAAGGCATTCGTCGGTTGTATGGATGCGGGTTCTATTAGTGTCTTCAGGCTGATGACCACACAGCTATCCGGGTCATTATTTTTTTATTTTAATGCGAATAACTCAGGCAGGGCAGGACGCTGACCTAGGCTACTTGGATGTGAAGTATTTAGCTGCATCTCGATCAGAGCTATTCAATCCACTGGGTTTTAATACACTCCTCGCTGTACCGCCCTTGTTCACTAGCCTGATATTCTCATGCGGTACGGTCGTGTCCCCCCGTCACGTGCTAGCTGTCTGTTATCATCACGTCATTGTACCGAATAACATGCATGTAGAAAATGCCGTGAACCGCAGATGCGCAGCTCCCTGAATCGACCATTTTTGAACTATTCATCAGAGTGGCGCTTACTGTCCTCTAACAGCTATTTTGCCACTTGTGTTCTAAGTGGGGCTGTTTTCGTAATCAAAATCACAATCGTTATCATCCAAGTTGTGGTCTTCATCATCATCCGGCAGCACCATCAATGTCAAGCATCAATGCTTCACTGCCGTGAATGTATAATTTAAATTAAACTTCTTGTGAAGAAAAGCTTAACAGAGAAGGGGGATAAATTGCTTGACCAATACAAACACTTCGGGATACCTACACATCTAAACATTCATCTAGAAAACGTGCATATAACTGACAACAACGCTTCTGGCATCCATTTGTAGCCTTTTCTTGCAGCCTAGCACAGAGAGGGCCATACGGATGTTACAGATGTTGCCAAATGAATCAGGTACAAAGGATATCCAGGCAAGCCAGGATCCAGCCAACCCCAGCACAGCCTGTCGCAGCGGCCTCCGGATTACGAGAGGGGCGTGGGTTTTTTTTAAGCGGTTCCAATTAGATCTTGAGTTTTCTTTCCGATATGCAACGGACATCGGTGTCTGGCAAGAGAAGCTTGTCATCCTGCTTCCTTTTAAGCGCAAACGGTAAATGTTGTTAGGTAAACTGTGTGTCCGGGTTTGTTCGGTACCGACTAACTCGTAGACGTAGCAGCTAAGGGCAATGCATAACTTGTCGTATCGTCAGTGTGCATACGAGTCTATCGTCACTGGAGTATTTTAGTGATCACTAGTATTTGCCAGGATACTTTTGGCGGATGGTGCCTCAACGGAACTCTGTGTGTTTGGCCGCCAACCTTGTCCACCAGGCTCACACTGGCATCAGCAGCTCCTACGTAGCATCAGTCGTTCAACTATTGTAGCCTGGTGGATTCCTTTCCGATACCAGTCATTCATTTCTTATGTGAAGGTGTTTGTAAATTGGGACAAACAACTAGATCACTCATGAGTACGTGGTTAGAACCTGAAGGTCGTAGTAGATGTGTCCAACCACCGACAACACTGGTGACAACTTACCCACGAATTCCCATCTTTGTGCCCAAATTTCTGGTAATTTCTATGAAATGGAGTGACTTCTTGTGAACTGTTCATGCCATTTGAAACCCATTAACCTTAGAAAATACGTCCTTCAGTATACGCATTCCTGTATGATATTTGTGATGTCCCGTTCATCTTCGATCACCTTCATTCTGGCTTCCTGTTTCCTTCCCGCTTTCAGAATCCAAACTGTTTCAGAATTCTACAGAGTCCACCTGTGGAGCCAGCTCCCCAGCCTATGTCACCGATGTAAGCCGGTCGTGACGTGGTTCGTTCAGAACGATCCCGGGCAGCACAGCTTAATCCTAACTGATAGTAGCATTTTATTTTACTTTATTTTCTCTCTATTATTCATTCACCACTTTGATCCCAAACCCAGAGCGGCCGTGGACGATGGCCCACATAATCTGAAGCAGTCCCATATTCCCCCATTTTCAGCCTTTGTTTTTCTGTACTTTGACCTGACGATTACTTCGCTTGAATAATATGGTTCATTACCGCATGTACACGTTTCTCCTGGTTTCATTAATTCAGATTTGTCGGTTGGCTCAGTTGACGAATTCAAGTCGGACTCTGTTCCTTTGACTGAATACGTTAGCCCGGTTGGATTTATCGCACCAAGTTTTGCAGTATTTTAGCCATCGTGTGATTTGTATATGTATCAGACAGAGATTGATATAAAGACCACTCGAGGTCTAACTGTTCATGTTTCTTTCGGGTAGTTGTTTTTCTGAATTCCTGAAAACGGGGCAGCGAGAGTATAGTTTCCGAGCTGTAACAACTGACAAGGTTAGATTGACCGTAGTCCTTCCTGTTCGATAGCATTGAAACCAGATCGAATATGGATACACGAAGGCTGGAACTGATGTGTTTGTGAAATGGTGATAGGTCGCTGGTATCAAGTGGTCTTTGTGTCTCAGAAAACAGCTCATTCTTTACGATCGGGTAGCATAAGAAGGGCCACATGATTTGCTCGAGATGTGATACCTCGACTCGGTAGCTACTTATCGAGGGTGACAGTAAGTCAATTTGACCTCGACCCTTTGCTTCAGAAAGGCTGTAACCATCTAAGAAAAACTCAGAAACAATGGAATGGTTAGTTCTGGTATGTCACAGGTACTCCGCACTGCCTGTACTAAATGTCCATGTACACAACTTAGACGTAAGTGTCTTGCTAGGGCACTCATTGAACCTTGTTCGACACGTGAAACAAGTAACGCAAACTCCATATCACACCAACGCTCCCCTCCCCAGGAGGTTGCATTGTCTTGTGGTTGATAGGAAATGTGGCAATCTTAGCGATAGGGAAGAACCTAATTGGTTACGGATATATTCAAGTCAAAACAAATTATGGTGCTCTGTACAGTTCTTAACTGAAACAGCTGTTGCACAGACGGACGCCACCCCCAATTATTTTATAGTGCCAAATCGGAAAGGGCGGACGAATCACCATCTTTAATAATGGGCCCAGTGATCAACTCGTCGATAAATGCTCGGGCCATCATGTAATTCTGGCCAAATCCCTTTCTTAAAATTTCGCGAGCCCGTAACCTTCGTTGGGTCGTAGGGCCGTACAATGCTCAATCCTTTTTTTGCTTCTCCGTCACAATATTGTATTAAATAATCCAGGCGAGCCTCATCGTCTCGGGTACAGTCTTCAATGGTACTGTCGAACGCTTTCATGAAGGCCCAATAGTCCTTCGGGTTCCCATTAAAGCGTTGCAATTCGCACTTCGGTAATCCCAGTCGCCTTTCCAGGGCAAAGGCTATGGACTTCGAATCAACTGGATCTGATTGAAATTCACTGCGAATCGCATTCGTCCTGATTGCTCCTTTTGGCTTTCGCTTCCGAAAGTTTCTGCAGTTCAAGTTAAATTTCCAACTCCCTGATACGCAGACGTGCGAGCTCCAGCTCTATATGGCGATTATCCGATTAGTGTACTGCGTCATGCTCTGTAGGAGAAGCGTTACGCGACATTACTAGAGGACGTAATCCATCGTCGGATTGCGGCATTTTGAATAACCTCAGGTTTCACTTTGAACCTAGGTGATTGATGCAAGATATGCGGCTGAGATACTATCTGAGTATACGCACCCGAAGTCCCTTGTTAGGTCGAGAAGACTGTCGTTGTATTCGGTATGGTTCTGTAATAACAACAAATAAACAACGGTTGTTGAGTGAATAGAAGTGTCAATGATTAATTCATAGCAATGATTCAATACGAACGTACATTCAAGATTGTACCACAGGTCTTTGAGCAGATCCGACGGAAAGGTCAAGGGAAATACAGATGAAATTTATAGTCCAAACAGTGTCTGAAATGTGGAATGAGAGTCATGAAGTGTCGGTAGGTGTGAAGGAATCAACAAACATTCACCGACCGTCACAACAGGCACTTCAATCAGGGGAAATATTCAGCACCACCGGCTACGATGGCTCGGTCGTGCTGTGCATACCGAAACACCGTCAGCCGAGACGAGTGTTGTTCTCCCTGCCTCCTTCAGAATGGCGCAAACCGCGAGATGGACAACGTATGACCTGACAGAAGGACCTGAAGGAGATTATGAACAGTTTGGGTGTTGCTGATGCAGGATGAGGTCCCCATGACCCCGTTTGGCTTGGCTGGAGACGTTGCAAGAAATGGTGGCTGATGATGCCAGTGATGTTCGTGCTGTCAGTTTCTTTCCAGATTATCCGATTAAGCGCTTGGAGGTGTGGGCACCTCAGAATGCTTGACAAATGCCAACACTAGGCCCCCTCCCTCGCCCCATTCCTTTTCTCTTCTTTTCACTCCAGGGTTTTAAATATAATTAGACGAACTTTATGGTTGTACGGCAGTGAAGCCTCAGTGTTAACACTGATGATGATGATGATACTTTGACATGTGGTCCTACGGTAACATTGATGGTAGTTTGTTAGGACATGATTGCCAAACACCTAAGGAAGCAGTCACGTAACAAAGTGCTAAAGCCTGCAGATATAATGTACCACATATTTTCGCGGAAAGCTGTAAACGAAATGCGGATATGAGTGTGCCTTAGGAACCTGGTTCTACCAATATTCTTTCCGGCCGTACGCAGGACGCTACTCTATCATCTGACTGACCAAATTTGTGCTCGATGCAGCCTCTACCTATCATGAGTGCTGTTCTTGATTCAGGGCCAGATATGTCCTTGCAGAGCACCGTGGAGCAGGTCTTTCTCGCTATGATGGGATTCACCTTCGCAGTTCTGGTATCCAATATAAACGCTTTTTCGGAAAAGCACCTTTACTTTGGTCTCATCCATCGTCACTCCTAAAATGGCAGCGGCTCAAGTGTCTGAACATGAGGATTGAGTTCATGATCTCTGGAGCTGACGACGTGGTCCAGAAGGTTGACTTGCATCTGAGGACAACGTGGAGGCAACTAGATGGCCGAGCGTTTCAGTATTACGCTATTACCGTTGAGACCGATGGTTCGGTGAAGAAAGCAAACAGTTATGAAATTCATGAACGGGGTCCCTCGAGATAGACTGTTAGTTGGCCACTCTGTCTTCCGTAGTGAACAAGGCGATTTGAATATTTGTATGGTTTGATTGTCGATACGTCATCAAATTTATTTTGCTGTTCCACTTCTTACTAATGTGAGAGAATGAGATGAACTGAAAAAAATCAGGATGGTTAGCACAAACCTGCTGAGCAAGACACCTTCCTCCCAGTAGCCGTATGTGTCAAGATTCTGCATTTTCAATATTCATGTCCTACCGATCATGTATCCCCATTTCACCTGGTTGATGTTATTCTCACATCTCTCGGCTTATCGCTGTCCTCGGATAAGAGCGCTTGGAAGCATCATTGGGACGAACTTATCCTTCCAATAGAATAAGCCATCGTCTGACATAAAATGCATTATGACGGTTTTGGTCAAAACGCTTTTTTTTACTGAGGAACTCATTGTGAATTTGTATTGCGCTTAGGTGCCGGATGCCGAACGTGTCTCCATAGGGTGTAAGGATGAGCGTGACATCGCAATACATGAACATTTTTTGTTATCATCCTATTGTGTCATATCGTGTATGACTGGAGACCTCCCAACTCCTTCAGCATGTGATTTATTTCCCGACATTTTTCGACACGAAAGGAGCCAGTTCACGACCAAGCTGGCTCTAACAGTAGACACTTGAGTGGCTGGGTTGCAGTCAATCTGGTGTTTTCATGCTCTTGTGGCTGGCTGGACACTTGTTTGAGCGGACAGCTATGAGGCGAATATCTTAAAGTTCTGGTTGAAATTCATGCTGTGTGCGGTTGACGTTCGGTTGGTCCTCCACAGACGTCCGAATGTTTCAATGTCGTTTTTGTCACCTGTAGTGATGGTAACTCTGGTTTGGTTGGGAACCTACTGGAGCACAAAGGTGCGAGAGGTTAATTTATAGAGTTCTCAAGTTAACAGACAACGAATTCTGCATTTTATGGCTTTCGAGCAGTCACTATCCACAGTATCAATTCTGTGTTATATAGCCGCATTTCTTTCTAAACCTGATGGTGTGAGGGTAGTTTTTCACAAACTTTTCTCACAATTCAACGTCGGACTAATTCCTGCTGNATTGACTTCACTAGCCTCGCCGACATGAACATTTAAGAGATCGAACAAAGTAAAATGCAGTAAATGTTTCTCGTAACTTGTGCGCCGTCGGATGTTTCCTACGTTCCGCCAGATAGCATTGGACCACCGATGTACCAGCCAGACCCAACCATTAGGGGTCTTTTAATCGGTGTGTCCAATTTCACATCTCAACTCCTTCCGAATAGGTACAGGTGTAACGGTGATACTACTGATGGGGAGGCACGCGAGCAGTATGTGTTGTTCGTAGAATTTCGCTTTGCGTCTTTTGAAAAGGGAAGATCTGTTGCGGAATTCGTGGAGCCACTTTGTAACATTTGCTTGGATTTGACCGACGAATGAGTGGAGTCAGTGAAGCTCCAGGAAAGTTCAAGAAGACGTGTTAAGGATAGTTTTGCTTCCCTGTCCAATGGTCTGTCGCCGTTCAGTTGCCATTTCCTAATAAATAACATAACCGGTCAGTTGGCATTTCTTAATAAATAACTCCGCAGCGAAGGTTTTCATCCTTTCACAGGTATGGTCTGTTATTTACTCCCATGTATTGTACATTTCTTTGAGTCCTATGGAGCTTTACTTTTCTGCAGGTTCATGATTCAAGTTCCTAGGTATTATGGAAATAGACCGCAGTTGCTTTCTAATGTTCAGGAACGGTTTGCAATCTGAATTCTTTTGGTGGGTGCTGTGGGTGGTCGTGCGTGGTTGTAGCTGGTGCGTGTGTCTGCTCGTTCAGACTGACCTTGATCGATCACTGGTGGTTGGGGTGGGCATTCTTACTGGCTCGTCCATTAACCTGTCTTCTGATTAGCTGATGTCCGAGCGTTCCTGGTGTGTGGATCTGTCGATTACCGTATCGCAACCTTTGCGACCCTACTCACACAGTGAATAGTTTTTCCTGATCCGTTGGATTATGATGTGCTCTTTTTCATCAGTACTCCCATTGAGTTGGTGAGTTCTGCTCATAGTAGTGTAAGCGGGACCAAGTGCTGGAAATCCAATAATGGATTTGGTTGCATAGTCTCGTTTGCATGAAAACTAGCCTTCTGATCTCGTGCCCGCGCAGAATAAAGTATTTAAAGACTGATGTTCATGGATAGTGGATCAAGTTCTTCAG